CCTATCATGAAGGATGAAACGAAAACCAGGCTGCGAAAATCCACATTTTAGTTGGCGCTCGAAAGACCGCGAAAGCTTCGCGAAAGCCGCGGCGATCGATGGGTTTTCGGGAAAAGGAATTTAGAACAGCCTCCACTGGATATACCATGCTGTATCACGTCTCACGACAGTAGCATGAGCCGCAGGACCTGACTGGGCGCAGGAGTTTGCTGGAGCCTGAGAGGGAAAGATCCCACATGATGTAGCTACGCGACTCCGAAGCGCCTAGGCGAGCCGTCCCGGCCCGCAAGCCTTCCGACCGCCCATGCAAATGGGCCCCATGGGACCTGACTGGGCAACAGAGCTGCTTGGCACGGAGCTACAGTCCGTGAGAAGCGGGGTCTTCAAGACAAGTGATGGATGTTTCAAGGTTTGCCGCGCGGCAGCCTCATCCTGTATTATCCTCTTGTGGAAGCTCAGAGTCCAAAACAACTTGGGTACTGTCATCAGGCAGGGCACCGCGCCTCCTGCCATGGAGAGTGCCTGGCAGCAGGCCTGCCTCGAAATGAGATCTGCCTGAAATGCCGTCGTCCCTTCTGACGCAGGCACAGATGGCGGGGCCTGCAAGCCTTGGGCACGGCGATTATATTTCAAAAGTACCCCAGCCTTGGTCAAATCCCGTTAGTTAGGTGCCGGCCCAGCATCATCCTCTGCAGCGATGCTGGGGGCCCCACATGAAAGCTGAGATCCAACATGCTTGAGCTGTGCTCTTTCACGTCCAGGTCTAGCACTGGCCCGATGGGCCCAATGATGGGCCCGATGATGGGGCCCATGATGGGTCCCATGATGGGCATGGGTCCCATGCTGCGGGCCAAGCCCTGAGATGGCAACAGCAGGAGCTGACATATCACACCGCACAGTGCAGGGGCCGCACCATGCTGGACCTTCTCTCATGCCAGCACCGGCCATGATGGCCTCGGCTCCCGCAGTGACCGTTGATGCCGCTCCGAAGGAGGCAAGGCGCCCTGATGCCAACAGTGCCGCAGCAGGAGCGCTGCGTAATGCAACCAACACGAACATGCCTTCAGGCTGCACCCATCGAGACGGTGGCGGAGGCTCCTCAGGCATTGGATGCATTTCGCGGGAAAGTTGAGTGCCAGACCGGTGACCTAACTAGCTACCTGGATGGCCTCAAGCTGCAAATGCTGCAAACCAGCACTCCCAATTTGTACTGGACGCAGAAGGTCGAAGAGGCAGATCTCGGGCAAGCTGCCCAGATGGTGGAGATGTGCCCCGGCTGAGTTATGGGGTAGCAACCTCCCCAGCTCACGGCTTCTCTTACGTGAACCACCTTCTCCCCAAACGAACGATTCGGCAAGCCAGAGGATAGGTTTTTGAGCATGAGTCATGAGCAACTGTGTTTCAACTCGGCGTACGTGGCTTACACATGTCTTGCGGTACTGAGGCTCCGAAACAGCGGGAACAGCAAGCTTGCCAACTCCCGCTTTGTAAGCTTCATCGACAAGGTGAGTAAGGCACCCTGCGCCAAACAGGGTCTTCCCCAGCGCCATTGTTTCAACAGGTCTATTGCTGTGATTCCGGAGCGTCTGACATTATCTGGCCCGGCAGGGAGATCTTCAGTTCAAAGAGAACACAGTCATCGATAGAGAAGGAAACCAGGTAGTCGCTGCCTCATGGGCTCATTCTATTTGCTGACAGAGTAATGTCTTTCCGGTGATGGTTCCCTGTATCGAGGACTGGGAATCTCTCTATGACACGGATGTTGCCACTGCGACAGACTCCGACCGGGCTCACTTGGTGCACCTGGCTCCTTAAGCTCTTGCAGCTTCAGAGCACAGCACAGTGGAAGCCCGCACCAGGCAAACATGTGGAAGGCCTCAGGTGATCCAGCAGGCAAGCCAAGCAGATGTGCGTACGCGGACCTTCAAAATCATGGACCAATTTCGCAGTCCTTGTTAAAGAGGAGATTTTTTTGGGGGATAAATGAGGGAGCCTCATGTTTGAGAAATGTTCACAGCCATGGTGGGGCTTCGCACTGTGTGTTCAGGCATGGAGGCCGTCTTGCGTGGCGGCAGTCTCGGCCAGCTTGGAATGGAGGACTTCGAGGGCGATCTTGGAAACCTCGGCATGGCGAATCATCGGGAAGTTCTCCAGGATGCTGCACTGCTCTGTTGCTGCACAGCCTTCTGAAAGACAAAGCTTGTTGTCGTGTTCACACAGGAGGTGCTTGGCAGCAGAGAGGAGGCCATTTGTCTGACAGCATTCTCATGCGCATGGATTCCAACAACCTGCAAGGCAGATGCCGTTCTTGAGCAGATGATGCAAGGCAGGACCTGGCCTTTTTGAGCTGTTCGGCTCAGAAGCCAAGCTTGGAAGAATGAAAGGCTTCGATGGCTTTGATCCGATGACCATGGATCTGGCTTAAGACTCAGAATCTGCCAATGCGGCATCTGGGTATGCAATGCTTGGTGGCTGCAGGGGGCCATGAACAGGGCCAAGGAGTACAAGTTTGCGGAAGAGAACCCTTTCCGTTGCTCGACCTCAGTTGTAGGCTGACGGATTTAGTGCGAGGCAAGCTTAGCAGTGGCCACACGGGGCTCTCAAAGACCTGAATGCAAGACTCGGCCAGACCAACCAAGGCGAAATCACCGATCCACTTGCAGAAGCCATCAGGCTCATCAGAGAAGGTGCCTTTCCGCCAGTCCTTCATGTGCAGGAGCCTAGAAGTCAAAGTCTGTCTAAACTTGTTTTAGCAAAGCCTGCTGCATCCATCTGTCTGATCAGAACAGTTCCATCTTGTTATGTTGGATTCGTGCTTCCATGCGAAATGGCAATGGTCAACGTCATGGTCTCCGATTTGAGCCCCGAAGCAGAGCACCAATTTTGACAGCTTCCAGTCTCCCAGTTTTGTTGCCTGTGCCAGGGCGGGATCGGGAAGCACTTCTCTGCCTGGAGTCCGAGGCACGTGGTTTTCAAAATTGGCATCCTTCTGCAGAATTGCTGCGACTCACCGGGCAGGTCCAGCGAAACCCGGAAAGCTCAGAAGGCTGGAGAATGCCCTTGTCCTACGTCTTTGCTTTCGGAGGGGCCCAGTCAAGATGCCAAGCAAAGGACATGCAGCATGAGAGAAGCGAAGGGAACCCATACCCATCATCGTATCCTTTTCTTTTGGAGTGCGGTAGGAGACTTTTTGGAGTCTCTAATAGATACACACAGTTCCACTTCCGCACATTCTGAGCTGCAAAACTTATCCACTAAGGCTGGGCCAGCTCTATGCAGAAATGGACCAAGATGTTGAGGCAAAGGGCGAAAAGCAGGGAGGTACTGGTAGCATTTGGCAGTTCACTGAGGCAATTCAGTGCCTCAGGAGGGGTCACGAGGTGCCGTCCATGCCTGCTCAGTGTGTCTCTGTTACCGAGCAAGCTGCGGACTTTTAAGCATTGGCAGGTGGATCCCTACAACTTAGACAGCCTCCTCGCCCTGGGTGAAGACCTCAGCATTGCAGTCGGGTAGAAGCCGACGCCTTGCCGCTTGGAAGCACGAGGCGTCAGCTGTACAAATGAGTTGGATCAGCTCCCTGCGCTGTTCACACCTCAATTTGTCAATCGCCGGCAGTTTTTTGTAGCTTCGCGGCTCGCGCTTCCCGGTCTCTCCAGGCGCTACTTGCGGACGTGGCTCGAAAACCATGAGGAGCATCAGGTTCCATTGCGGTCAGATCTAAACCGATACCCATATCACAGCGTGATCCAGAGGCCCTTGTAGAGGGCGTTGAAGTTCCTCCGGACTTCGAGTACGATGCGTGGCGTTGCGGCTTCAGGGTTTTCCATGTGTGTGATGGTCACTGAAAGGCAGCAGCTGACCCTTCTGCACCATAGGCCGCCAAGTCACGGAACTGTTTCAACGGGCTGCTCAGGCTTCGGGCCTTTTTTTTGCATTTGGGCAGAAATCGGCAGAAAGCTTGCCGCTGCGGCAGAAGAGGCGAACCCCCATGATGCTGACGTTTTTGTGGCTTTGGGCGTCCTGGAAAATATCAACAGCCGCCGGGCTGCCATTTCAGCAGCATTGCAGCCTTTTCCCTCACAATTCCAACCAGCTGTACTATTTGATAAGGAGACTTCCCAGCAGCCGTTCAGGCAAATGCGATTGTGCTTTGCAGATGCCACGCAGTCAGCCGTACGAGCTCTGTGACCAGGCTCTTGCAGGTGCTTGCCGCTTACGGCCCAATGACCCAACTGCACCTGCCTCATCATTAAGGTAAGCGCTTTGATTAGCAAGGTGTTCATGCTCAATGGATATTTGACTTGAATGGTTGCTTTGATGTGGCAGCGGCTAGGTTGTGGAGAGATGTGAGCTTGCCTGCTAAAAAGTTCAGACGGCACAGCGCCAGCATCGGTGAACGCTGCCAATGCAGTAGCACTATAACTCTGAGGTGTGGAACAAACTTGGCGCAACATTGGCAAACTCGGGCAAAAGTGAGCAAGCCGTGGCCAGGATCTTGTCAGTGGTGAGACATGGTGAGACGACATGCACCGGGTCTTAATTGCTCTGGCACTTAGGTTGCCTACCATCAGGGCTTGGAGCTGAAGCCAAACTATGCTCGCAGTTGGCCGGCCTCTAAAGACCTTCCTCGTTCCAGGATTCCAACTGTAGCTGTTCAGCGCTCAGGTCGAACATGGCCATCGCCCATGCCAATTTAGGTCCACCCAGCCAACTATCTTTGACCACAGTGACTGAACCTTGATCACTTAAGACAGCAACTTTGGCACAGGAAAGCACAAGGACGCCGCGCGTTTGTACCTGTGCGTAGCTTAATGGTGCCAGTGTGGCGTGCCTTTTCTGCGGTGCAGTGGCTTTGCACATTGTAAGATGGGCGCCGGGAAGTCTCGTGTAGTGAGGTCGTCCCTTGTCCTGAACCCTGAAGCGACGCACATTTGGAACTTCCTCCAAAGTGCCTGGCACCCAGAAGCAGAATCCTGTTCCCGACAAAGAGTTCAGATCAGCTATAGTCTGCACGTCTAGTCTCCCCCTTAATAACCCCATATAATACACCCCTACATATCCTCCCTCGAAGGAGTTTAGCCTATAACTTAGATGAGTACTGCTGTGACATGTTGCTCTAACCAGGCCGTGCTGAACATGAACATGGACAGCCAGTACGCTATGGAGGCAACGGAGGCTGGGGGGAATAAGCTGGGGTAGCAGTACTTGAAATATTTGTAGCGTAGCCATGATAATGACCATCGGACACTTCTTTGAAGAAAGAGGGGATAAGTCAACTTGCAGTTGGGCAACGCTTGCAATTTGGCATTAGTAATTAGTGTTTCTACCCCAGCAGGCATAGCTCTACAATGTCAAGCCAGGTCAGTAAGCATATTACTCTTTGTTGCGCACATTTCTCGAGTGACGCCTGCAGGCCATTGAGCAGAGAGATTTGAAAGCTGCAACTCAGATAATTGATGGCGCGAATGCCTCAGGTGGCAGTTCAGTTCTGCAAAGACAAGCTATGTCAGTGTCTAGCACGGCTCTGCAAACAACCCATAATGCTGATGGCAGGTAACTGTGCACCCTTGCAGAGTCATGTGAGCTTTGGTCAAAACTACCCTTATTGTAAAGTGATAAAGTGTTTGTTCAATCAGTGGGAACATATTGAAAACCCACAGAAAAACGACACTGGGTACCCCCAAAAATGTTACAGGAGATTGTGCCTACGAGCCAGCCTGCTTTTTTTTCCAGACCCTCTACAGTTACAGAATGACATCCTCAACGCATGCGTGGAGGGGCAGGTGATGTGCACGAGCTGGCACGGGATAGAAGGCTGTGGCGCAGTGCCGCTGCTCCTTTCCTGCGTGCTCAGCCTACTGATCGGCGCCTCCGCGCATATGCAGATCTTCAGCTCGTAGATTTGTAGATCTAGGTAGATGTAGGTGCCTTCCTTGCTGAGGGTACCCCGATGTGTGTTTGTACATGTTGTCATGGCTGCTCTGCAAGTGTCCGTGCCATCCGTCGATGCCTTGCTAAGCAGGGGTCCGCGTGACCCACAGGCAATCAATCAATCAATCAAGCAAGCAATCAATCAATCAATCAATCAATGATATCCCCAAACCTACAACACGATACCAGGCATCTTGCATGAACTCCAGCATTGCCACAAACAAGTATTACTGACCTATATTCCAAGTAGGGTCTTCGTGTGGTGCCTCCTGCTGAACTAAGACAAGATGTGACCTCCCTAAGCACTGGGGAATTATACAGCCGAATAATATTGTAGTTTATTTCTGTTCCATGTTCTTTTCCATTGGATTCTTCAGTATTACGATGCTACTCGGAAACTTACTTTCTTCCCCAAGGTCTTGGATCCGGCGAAGCTGCCAAAGCCGCTTGACCAGCCCACGCGGTCCATCCCTTAAACAGCACATGCTTCGTTGGGAATGGGAGAATGGATTTGTATAGTAGTCCCATTATAACCCCATCATAAAATCCCTATCATCGTTCATTCTTCTAAGATTCTAGCTTATTGCACGGAGTCCCTAGTTAGAGCCATGTCTGCGGACTGAGTGTCCACATGGCGGAATGACATTCCTCACTGAGCCCTGTGTGCTTTGAATCTGAAAGGCCACCTGACGAGACTTTGTCCTCCATCGGGTGCGCCCAGCACGACCGCATGTCCTCAGTCGGTTTACTACTTGTGCTGTTCTGCCACACCCGCTTGTGGGCCAATGCCAGTGCTGGCTTTTTTGTTCCAGGCTTTGAACGCTGACTGAGAGAAATTGAGAGACCTGAACTGGTTCTAGATTTCTGGCCTTTGGCCACTCGTTTAGCCAATTTCATATGGGAGTCGCGTGTAGCTGTTACCGGGGTGCTAAGCCGAAAAGCTGGTCTGGTTGTGTACTTATTCAAGACTCTAAGCTGTAGCCAGTAGGCGTGCTCGACGTGGTTTTGCTTTCACGAGCTGCGCAATGGTGCGGTTGATGTCGTTCCACCATGGAGAGCAGATTTTCCGGGGGAACTGCAGAAGCGTGGCTGCAACAAATCATGAATGCTGGAGACCTCCATCCATTTGCAAGATCAATCTGCAGCTCCCTTCCAAAGACCTCTCTTTTGGTGCAGCGGTGCCAGAGAGGCCCGCTCTTAGCTGCGTTCACCGCTTCCGTACAGCACGCAGATGCACGCAGGGCCGCAAAGTGCGAGGTGGCAGATTCTGTTCAAACTGAAATGTAGCCTGAAGCATTTCGGGGCATCAAGTGCTGCAATTGCATTGCAGGCAGCCGACAACAGGTATCGGCATGTTGGGCCATCACATGCTTCATCAAACAGATGCCCTGCGTGGTATTAAGGTATGTACAATCAAGAGCAATCGGCTGGCGCATGTGAGTATGGCAGCACTAGATACACAAACTGCGCCTGGTCAGAATCTCCCGAAATGCTGGAGCACAGGGGGATCTAGCCCACAAAGGAAGAGGGAGGGAAACGCGTAACTGCTGAACCACTGCTGCGGAAGGGGCTGAGGTCAACAGCTTTCGTGGCGTGTCGCACCAAGTTGGTGGATCGGCAAAGTCTACACTCTCCCATAACTATAACCCTTTAACCCCTATATTTATAATAGCTTTATACTTACCCCTAGAAGAAACCTATAGTAGTCCTATAATTAACCTTATAATCCCCGATATAACCCCTATACTAACCTTATAGTAACCCTGTAATTGCCCCTATAATGCTGCAGAGCCTTGCTATGCGGTTTGGTAGTAGTCAGCCTGCACAGGCAGGAAGGTCGTGAGCGGTTGCCTTGAGTCACGAGCCTAATCTATTATAGGGGTAATTATAGGGATATGATAGGGTCATTACAGGGGTTATATAGGGTTATTATACTCTACTGACTCTACTGGTTTGCCAATTCCCAAAATGGCAGGGTCTAATTTGCTGTCTCTCAACGACCGCAATAACCCTGGATCTTTGGATATTAGACCCAGACATTGGGGTCGAATATCTGGGACCCGGGGTGTGACCCTCTAGTAGCTGACGGGATGCTCAAATTGTGTCTGGGACATGAGAAGAAGCGGGGCTATATGTGTGATGACCTTCAGCTTACACCCATCACCTTTCTTTCGAGCACACCTGAAATACTAATCGGGACGTTTACAACTGATCTTCGCAGAGATGGAACATGTGTAGGGTGCGCGGAATTGACCATGAGGATCTTTAAGGTGCGGCTGCTTACATGAGCACAATGTCTAAGTCTAACTGTGACAATACTGTGACATCTCCTACAACTTTCGTAGTTCCTGCAACTTTCGTAGTTGGAAGCAGGATTTCCGTGATGCAAGCACACCAAGAGCCCTGTCGGGTCTGACCAAGAGCGAGGCTTGACGTAGAGTAGAGTTCTCATCGCCGTAAGGTGGAAGTCTCGCAGCCTTTGCGGCTC